GCCAACGATTTCAAGGTCAAAAATGCGGTTTCAATGCAGCTTCAAAGGGCTCTACACGATCCCAGCCGAGAAATAACGGTCTTATCTAGCGAAACAATCGGTCATTTCCTGAAAAAAATAAAAATAAAATGTATACACTTTTTAACCACAAATGCTCGGCTTGCTCTAGCTCTGCGATGCGCATGCACGTCTTCACACATTACGTAATCCTGTTGGAAAGGTCATGCGCGGTTAGTTCTTCATCTTTGTACTTAGTTTAAAAACTCCATCTCATTTTCTCTTCCAAGTTTAAAATCATCCAACATCGTTGTTTTACCTTTTTTGTAAAGGGCATTTTACTTTTTTTGCATGTTCAATTTGTAAACACTGGGTCGGTACTTCCACCTACGTCATGATGACCTTTCCAATATCACCTAATAAAGATGCGCATTGCAGAGCTAATGCTAGCCAAACATTTGTGGTTAAAAAGTATAAATATATATTTTTTAAGAAAATGACAGATCGTTTTGCTAGATAAGACCCTTATTCCGCGGCTGGGATCATGTAGAGCCCTTTGAAGCTGCATTGAAACTGCATTTTTGACCATGAAATCATTGGCCATCACTGAAGTCTACTAATTAATTTCTTTGCGACCGAAGACAGACAGACATGAACATCTTGGATGACACGGGGGTGAGCATTTATCAGGAAATGTTTATTCTGGAAGTGGACTTATTCTTTAATGCATTAACTAATGGGGCCTTATTGTTTGTTGCAAAATTTACTAAAAAAACAAAAACAAAAAAAAGCAAAGTAAAATGACATGCACCGGTTATTGTGCACACAATTGAGCAATGACTGAATCAGCTCATCTACTTTTGATGAACCAGTTCATTGAAATGACACAGTTACAACACAATAAATAATGGATCATCCCTCAGGGAGAGAAAAATACTGCTCAAAAACAATGTCTTCAGTTAGTGTCCTGGTACGCTAGCTAGGTCTGGTGAGAAGCGTAGCTAATAGCAAACAGGTGCTGCAGTGTAAACGAGTGAAAGAACAAAAAGAAGAGTAGTGAGAATTGTCGATATTTACATTTATGCATTTGCCATTTTTCATGCATTTTCACCACTGATAATAATCAGAAATGTTTCTTGAGCAGCAAATCAGCATATTACAATGATTTCTGAAGGATAATGTGACACTGAAGACTGGAGTAATGATGCTGAAAATTCAGCTTTGATCACAGAAATAAATTATGCTGCGAATAGTTGGAATTGCTGTATGGAATTTCATATGGGATCACTGTGGACCAACTCAACTCCTTGTCTTGTCTTGGCTCATCTGGATCTAAACTAGTCTTAAATGTCGTCATGTTGTGCACCACATCCAGTCTGACAGTATAATTTCCCACTTCATGCATCTAAACTAACCGTGAGCTATTGTAGCTAATCCAGCCATTACCAATTCAGTGAATTTTAAAAATAACCCATCATACGTCACCCTGAAACACACACACACACACACACACACACACTCACACACACACAGACACGACTCTCTGACAGCAGGTGAACAAGGGTGGCTCAACCTCCAGAAATCCTCTTATCCGTTGCCATTATAGTTTGGACAGCGAGTGCCTGATCTTCACAGACGCAAACTCACATAGGGCTCTAAAATTAGCATGTTGCATGACAACATCAAGTCACTCACAACTGGCCTTGACCTGATGACTTAATCCTTTAAACCCGGAGAACTCGCCATTAGCTTCTATAAATCACCAACAAGAGCTAAGTTACCGACAATCACGTAAACAACAATCAAGTTACCCTTTTGGAAAAGTGCTTAATTTCAAACTTAGCATTCTACTTTTGAGCAGACAAGTAATGCAAAAGTAATCCACACCACTTCCAGCTAAAATATGCATAATATTGCTTTCTCCAGTGCAGAAAGTCATCTCGTCTGCATCAGGAGAGAAATATGCACAGATCAAGCACTGTTTTGATGTGAGAGATTATGGATTATGGACTCATGTTTTGCCCAGAATTGACCGTTTGAAATTAAAACATCTTAATGTTGATTTTGTTTCTTAGAAACATGCAGCTTTTCACTTCTCAGGACATTAACTGATGGACTGGAGTGGTGTGGATTATTGTGATGTTCTTATCAGCTGTTTGGACTCTCATTCTGACGGCACCCATTCACTGCAGAGCATCCATTGCTGAGCAAGTGATGCAATGCTGTTTCTTCAAATCTGATGAAGAAACAAACTCATCCACATCAAATGTTGTATCTGTTAATATTATTTAATAGACCTGAGCTAACATGAATTAACAATTAACTATTTTTTTAATCAGCTTACTGCAACAAAAGTATTGCTGATTGTTAAAGGATAAGTCCATTTCCAGAATAAACATTTTCTGATAATTTACTCACCTCCATGTCATCCAAGATGTTCATGTCTTCCTTTCTTCCGTCACAAAGAAATTACGTTTTTTGAGGAAAGCATTCCCAGGATTTTTTTCCCCATATAGTGGACTTCAATGGTGGCCAACGATTTCAAGGTCAAAAATGCGGTTTCAATGCAGCTTCAAAGGGCTCTACACGATCCCAGCCGAGAAATAACGGTCTTATCTAGCGAAACAATCGGTCATTTCCTGAAAAAAATAAAAATAAAATGTATACACTTTTTAACCACAAATGCTCGGCTTGCTCTAGCTCTGCGATGCGCATGCACGTCTTCACACATTACGTAATCCTGTTGGAAAGGTCATGCGCGGTTAGTTCTTCATCTTTGTACTTAGTTTAAAAACTCCATCTCATTTTCTCTTCCAAGTTTAAAATCATCCAACATCGTTGTTTTACCTTTTTTGTAAAGGGCATTTTACTTTTTTTGCATGTTCAATTTGTAAACACTGGGTCGGTACTTCCACCTACGTCATGATGACCTTTCCAATATCACCTAATAAAGATGCGCATTGCAGAGCTAATGCTAGCCAAACATTTGTGGTTAAAAAGTATAAATATATATTTTTTAAGAAAATGACAGATCGTTTTGCTAGATAAGACCCTTATTCCGCGGCTGGGATCATGTAGAGCCCTTTGAAGCTGCATTGAAACTGCATTTTTGACCATGAAATCATTGGCCATCACTGAAGTCTACTAATTAATTTCTTTGCGACCGAAGACAGACAGACATGAACATCTTGGATGACACGGGGGTGAGCATTTATCAGGAAATGTTTATTCTGGAAGTGGACTTATTCTTTAATGCATTAACTAATGGGGCCTTATTGTTTGTTGCAAAATTTACTAAAAAAACAAAAACAAAAAAAAGCAAAGTAAAATGACATGCACCGGTTATTGTGCACACAATTGAGCAATGACTGAATCAGCTCATCTACTTTTGATGAACCAGTTCATTGAAATGACACAGTTACAACACAATAAATAATGGATCATCCCTCAGGGAGAGAAAAATACTGCTCAAAAACAATGTCTTCAGTTAGTGTCCTGGTACGCTAGCTAGGTCTGGTGAGAAGCGTAGCTAATAGCAAACAGGTGCTGCAGTGTAAACGAGTGAAAGAACAAAAAGAAGAGTAGTGAGAATTGTCGATATTTACATTTATGCATTTGCCATTTTTCATGCATTTTCACCACTGATAATAATCAGAAATGTTTCTTGAGCAGCAAATCAGCATATTACAATGATTTCTGAAGGATAATGTGACACTGAAGACTGGAGTAATGATGCTGAAAATTCAGCTTTGATCACAGAAATAAATTACATTTTAGCATATATTCTAACAGAAATCTTTTATTTTAAGTTGTAATAATATTTCACAATTTTCCTGATTTTATTGTATTTTTGATCAATTAAATGCAGCCTTGGTGAGCAGAAGAGACTTAATTCAAAAACTATTACGAATCATACCAAACTTTTGACTATTAGTGTAAAGAAAAGGCACAAAGAAAGTTCAGCAATAATAGATTTAAAAACGTACAAGTAGATAGAAGTAATCCATATCACAACAATCACTATTGTCACATGACCACATGTGGCTGATGGACTTCCTGTTGACAAAAATGGACTTCTTCAATAAAACATGATGATTATGAAGAACAAAAGCCCCTCTGCTCCTCCAGGCTCACAGCTGCTTGCATGACAAAGCGGCATATTTTCATATACATTCAGTAATATAAAGGCCTGGGGTGTCGTATGCATAATCTATAAACTGGCAGGCGAGTCATGTAGCGTACGTCCCACAGCCCCTTAAATCTCTTTATCCCGGCATGTCACACACACACACACACACACACACACACACACACACACACACACACACGAGAGAGTTCAGAGACGTGGAGGTGTTTCTTTGGCATACAGGCATACAGCTGGAGAGGCTGTTTGTCAAAAACATTGAGAGTGAAGACAATATAAACTGGCCAGAAATCACAAATATTAGATTTACATGTCTGTGCAGATTATTCAGTTCATCGTGGGATGTCTAGTACAGTTAATCTAGTCAACTAGATGTGTTTGTCTGTGGCTCAAATTGTTTCAACGCTCATTAAAGTGTCTTCATCTTTCTAGCAGAACTAGTCAACAGTATAAACATTAGATTCAGTTTCAAAATGTACTGACACCTTAATCAAAGCTGTCATTTTTCCAGTTGGTTTTGAGTAAAAAAAAATTGCATTCATTAAATTATATTATAATAATATATTAAATGCATATATGAAGTTACTATAAATTTAGATAATTAATTAATTACAAATGTATTTAAACAATGAATAATAAATTATATACATTTAATTATTAATATTTAAAGATATTGGTAATTATTATAAAAATTATATATGTTTAAGTATAAATTGGCGTTTAATCCTCCTATTATCAGCATTGGTTAAAGAATAATCCATATCAGAACAGAGCTCTCTTTATGCTGGGTGCATCCGATCGTGTCATATTTTATGATTTGGTTTATTATAATCTAATAGTTAATGGTCAGTTGTCTCACCTATCTGCAGCAGTACAGGTGTGACCAGCGCCGTCTCCATGGCGTAGCAGAACTCTCGTCCGAACATGACGGCGCCATGCGCATGCACTTTTATGCATTATACAATAAAGCATATAATTTTATGCATTTACATAAATGTGTTCTTTGATGCATTTACATTAATGCGTGTACTTTTTATAAAATTACAGATACTTTTATGCATTAACATTTATGCATTTACATTAATTTATGTACTTTTATGCAACTACATAAATGCATGTACTTTCATGCTTTTACATGTAATTTCATAAAATTACATGCATCAGTGCAAATGCATAAAAAGTACACGTTAATGTTAAAAAGTACATATAATTTTATAAAAGTACATGCATTGATATAAATGCATAAATGCACATGTACTTTTATTCATCAACACACACATTTGCATTTACATGTACTTTTATGCATTTACATTAATGCATGAACTTTTATACATTAACATGTACTTTTATGACCCCATGCATGATGCTAGAAATGCCAACGTTATGGGTTTGATTCCCAGGGACTGCATAAACTGATCGAATGTATGCAATTCAATTCGCTTTGGATGAAAGTGTCTGCCAAATGCACAAATGATAATGCATAAAAGTAAATGCTCACCCCATATTATTTCCCCACTCAATATTGTTGCTTCACTCAAAAATGTGAAATTACTGCCATTAAATGCATTGCTAATGCAGTTTCACGTTGTCTCGAAGCACTTCTTTAGAACATTCCTTATTTTTAATTTAAGTGCATAATCAGAATTAACATATTTGGCGGGATTATACGGGGAGCTTTCAGAGATTAGCGGCTGTAAATATGGCACGTTTCAGGACGGGATGGAAATTCACATTAAAACCCCGAAGCACTAAAGCGTGCGCAAACAATCAGCTCTGCGGTGGCACTTCATAAACCTCTTAACATGACCGAGATGTGAAATGAATCTGCGTGCGGTCTTGAGGGCTCTTTAAAACCCAACACAATGGACTTCGCTCATGGTTCAAACCGGAGTAACAGAGCTGACATTGTCTTCGTGCGGCCGAGTCTCCTGATTATACATGCTGCTATTTACAAATTCTGAAACCAGGCAAAAGAGGACGGGAAATTAGCATTTCCTGAACACCACAACAAAAACAAACACTAGTAAAACTGGACAACAATCAATCAGGCCGTGCGTTGATAAGTGCATGATAACCGCCGAGGTTTCCATCCTAAAGCAGCATTATCAGTACAGGGATTGGTTATTGTTCCAGCAGGCCGTCTTGAGCTACTGGAGGCTTGTTTATCATGTGAGACGCTGATAGGACACAAATGCTATCAGATTACAGCTCTATTCAGCATAGTAATGAAGTGTGGGCTATTTAAATATTACATTTGGAGCAGCTGACTAGGATTCCCATGTGTTGACCCCTAGGTCACAGGGGCGACGGTCTGATCTGGCAGCTGATTGGTTATCTAATCCTGACTGGATCCTCAGCCAGCGAGTCGACGGGACACACAGGCTCGTCTCCAAAATCTGCTTACATAGACAGTGATTAAAGGTATCATAAGCAGCGAGCAGGCATAATTATAGAAGTAAAGAAAGAGATATTTATCTTAGATTATCTGAGTAAATTTAGTAAACCAAATTCAAAAGCAGCACTGCATATATTCTTCATGGAAAAAATAAAAATTGCAGAATGCATTGCAGACATTACATACAGGCAAACTAAGCAAGATGAAAGACTACAAATATTTTGTTAATTATTACGCAATGTTTTGATATTAATTTAATATAGATACAATATTAAAATAAATAATGAAAAAATTATTAAAATAAAAAAATATATATTTTTAAAACATTATATAAATTTATTTTGAAAGGTAGAGAGATTATTTTTTAACAAATTCCAAAAATGAATAAAATAAAATAAAATAAAAAATAAAATACATATTTATCCTTTATGGATATAAACAAATAAAAAAATAATAAAAATCTTAGAATACATTCTAATAAGCTTAACGTAAAAGAAATCCATCCATCAAACAAAGCAAGAGAAATGCTGATTATAAATACTAAGTTATTATTATTAAATATTATCATATTAATTATATAGATAAAATATTAAAAATTTTAAAATATTGTTTTTAGGGACAGAGATTTAACTTATATCACTCAAGTCAATTTTGCTTTTACCAAATATGAAGCAAGCAAAAAAATAAATATATAAATAATAAATCAGTAAATAATTTAATTTGGATTAAATTTAAAAAAATATATTATAATTGAATATTTTAATATAAAAATATTTTTAAAATGTTTAATCTACTTTAAAAGCAATGTATGTGTATTTTATAAACATTAAAAATGTTTTAAATATTATTTTAATTATTATGACATTAAATCAATATAGATCAAATATTGAAAATATTAATTTTAATTTAAATCTGATTACATTTTTTATATTTTATAAGGGATATTTGTGCCTTTTATAAATATAAATGTGAACATTATTCTACAATATGATGACATTAATTCAATAGATAAACTATTGAAAATATAAAAACATAAATAGAAACAAAAAAAAACATTCAAATCTAATTTAAAAGGAATGTCTGTGCCTTTTATTAATATTATGTTAATTATTCGACAATATTATGACATTAATTCAATACAGCTAAAAATGTTCAATCAAATTGAAAAGAAACTATTCTACCCAATCTGTCTGTGTGTCATGTATTTTTATGCTTATTAGAGCATCACTTCATTATCTTAGACAGGAGACACTCTGGCAAAACTCCTACTTAAATCCAGCCTGACAGTTTCCCCGAGTGGATCCACAGAAACATCTGACAGCCTGACAGCGATGAGCTGCATGCTAAACACTTCAGAGTCTGTTCCTTCAGAACAAAAGAGAGCAAAAACTCTTCGCTCGCGTGACAGTTTCAGAAAACAGGCTCAAACAGACTCCCTGCAGAGAGAGACAAACGGCATCCCTGCGTCCAGTTTCCTCATATTAGCACCGAGAGCTTCACGCCATCAGCAAGACGCCAGTAAACGGCCACGATCAAAAGCATCTGCGGCACAACAATACGGCTCTGCTTGCGTTTGAAAGGGTGTCGAGCTGCTCTCCTCGGGCCTTCGGCGAATCTGCCATCTGCACCAAAAGCGGCCTGTCATGTGAGAAGGTAAGAGGGGCCCAAGAGGCTCCGGCTGGGTTCGTTCCTCAGAGGACAGAGAGCACAACCTGCTGGGATTCTGCAGAAAACTGACTCTACAGATACAGAGAGACAGTCTGAATGTGACGGGATCACGGGGAAGGAAGAGATGAGAAGACCTTTGAGCTGCTGGTGGGAAAGCGAGTTATTAATACCCTCCTCACCTGTGCTGAGACTCTTACATAACAGCTTCACGTGGAGCCGAAGCATCTCACTTTCACATAAACGTGCACAATTACACACACACCAGCTGAGTGGATCACCACGCATCATGCTAAATCAGGTACAGGTAGATGTGAAATTACTAAAATGCCAGGTTCACAATAGCATGCTTTTTTTTTCAATTTCTTAAAATTAATTCTTAAATATCTGTAAAAATGAAATATATCATTTATATATTTTTTATTTATATATTTTTATATAATTTATATATTTTTTAATTTCTAAAAAGTTCACCTTTGAGATATATTATATATATATACTTTGAGATATTTATTTTGATTATTAATTTTTTTATATTTAAAAAAATATATAATTTATAAATTTGTTTAATATTAAATATTTTAATATGTTTTAAAAAAATATTTCTATA